AAAAGGCCCTTCCAAAGGTCCCCACCCTCCCATTGGGAGCCCCCAAAATTTCAGTTTTTCCCAAAGGGTTTCTTCGAGTTCCCCAAATTGAGGGTTTGGGGGAAATTGCGTTAGCTTAAATCGCAGGGACCACTCCCAGGACTTTTGCAGTAAAGGGGTAAGGGCCAAATCCGGATTGTGTTTCGGTTTAGTGTTGGGGAATAAAGTTTTATATGGGTGGGAGGAATTTAATGTTTCGTCCCGGTCAAGGAGGTGAGAGGGGAAACCAATATAAACCCCCGAAAGGGGGATATTTGGAACAGGGTAAAAGGAAAAAAAGAAAAAAGCAAGGGGCTAAATTGGAGTTTTTAAGGTGGCGGTGGGAGGAAGAGGAGAGACCAGAAATAAGTGAGCCCGAGTGGGGGATATGGGAAGGGAGATATAGCCGGAGGGGGGAGAAGAACTTCCCCGAAGTCCAATCCAAAGAAAGAAGAAAAAAAGTTTCGCACTGGGGGGGACGATCATTTCTTTATAGAACGGGAACCCCCCCAACTGATGGGCGTATCTTTCTCCCGGTAACTCTTGAGAAGGGAGGGGGGGGGGGTGGTCATGTCTCTCCCCATGCATCCATGGCAGATGTCGAATTCCTACAACTACAAGTACTGTACAGTAGAGCCACACAACCATGGTCCTGTGATGTGTAAGAATGTACGAGTGTGTACGAGTTGTCTCTCCCTCTCTGCAGAAGGAGAAAATACAACAAGCCGATTCGTACCTGCATCACCCATACTTACTTTTTTGTCCTCCCCCAATCCGGATTCACGTCTCCTTCACCCAACCCCCAAAATCCAGAAACATCCCTGTTCAACAAGTTCCTCCAAAATTCACAAATAATCAGCCTCTATTCTTGTCCTTCCCGCGCATCCACAAAGCTTGGTATTGTACACGGCTAGACCGCTTTTGGCCTCACACACATGCCCCCCATTCAGTAAGGAAGGAGGGGAGGGATTTTACCGACGACGGGGGGGAAGAGGAAGGATAAAAAAAAAAAATAAGATTAATTACCCCGCAAGTAGCAAAAATAGGTCCTTATTAATTCTGTAAAAAAAAATTACCCTATCTTGGGATTTGTTCGACGCGTTGATGTTTTCTATATTTAGCTAGCCATACGACTCTGCCGTCCAAAATATTCGGATTTGGAGGTATTAGCTGGCATTTCTGATCGCAACGGTGGTGCTTTTACCGCAGAGGGAATAGCGCCATCTTAACTCTTGTCAGGAACTGTGGCGGAAACAAACTTTCTTATCATAGTCATGCTATATTATATTACTGTGCGTGTGCGCCAGGAGTGAACAATTGAACCCACGATATTCGGGAGTTTTTCAAATTTCTAGGGGCGTGATTACTGGGTAGAGCGAATTGGTAAGCGAATTTCACGAGTAAAATACCTGCTACCGTAATAGAGTAAGATAAGTGCTCCCGGACAACTAGAGTGGGCACATTATCCCGGCCGGGCCAGGCTAGTTACTTTGAGCAATTGCAAGTACCCTCATGGTAACCGAAATGCCCCCTTACTATGATGTCCATGAACAATTCCCAAAGATGAAATTGACTCGTATTCTCCTTCAGGCCTTCTTCCATTATCTTGCCACACTATTAAATATCCTATCTTATCACATCACATAAGTGAAATAAGATCTACACCCCGTGCAACGTGCAGTACTGCACATATACCCTCTCCCAATGTCTTGTAAGAGAGAGATACTCAAATTCTCCGCAGCCACTTTTTCCTTCCATCCATCCCTCAGTGTGTGTACTCGAGTATGTGTGGCCTGTGCTATATTCAGCATTTCAGATTACCGGTATCGACGCGATAACGGATTAGTGCACTTACCGGTCGGTACTCGTATTCCACCTACCTGCCTGCCCTTGTCTGACCGATGATGATGGGTCAGCTGGACTGGATGGTGATGATGATGATGCTGATATGCTATCGCCACGCTAGCCTATGTGTTCGGAGATATAAGTCTAACTTTACTTCTATTTTACGGTAGAGCTTATCCCCCGGAATTGATAAGCTGGTGGTGGTGGCGGGGGACTTGGGAATCGAGGGAGGATGTCAGGTTTAGCTCGGCTTGGTGGAGGAAAAAAGTGAGATTTGATCGTGTACCGGTATTGATCCATCCATGGAGGTGAAGGATTGGGCCTGGAGAGCAATCGTGAAAGTGAGTGAGTGGCGGACAGCTAACGGTGTAATCCTTAAGGTAGAAGAGAGTTACGGTGTGTCCGTTTATGGGTGTAAGTTATGCATGCAGACAAAAAGGACTAGATAACTAATGAACTGAGCCGCAAAAGTGTCTGCAGAATTCCCCAACTGACTGCAATTACCATATCATCTTGTTTTCATGTGTAAACCTTATGCCATCAGGTAAAAAAATAAAAATAAAAAAAGATTCCCCCTTATGATACATATGATGCTAAACAAAGTAACCAGGACCGCCAAGACCATCATACCGTACTGCACACAAATAAATATCATAATCTCCTGACATTTTTCCCCCAGAACTGTGGCTCTCCCTCTCTCTCCCCCCCTCTCACCATCCAGTCTAAACCCCGCTTCCTTACATGCCCGTGCCCTGTGCACTGTCACGTCCGTGACACAATATTACTATTTTCCCCTCCCTCTCTTCCTTGCCTTACCACATACCCTTTTCGTCCATCCACTCATCCATCCTTTAATATTACCCAATACCATTATGGACACCACCACCACAGTCAGTAAGGAAATTGACTCGTACTGTACAAGCGCACAAATTCGTCTGCGCTCTCAACGCTTACAAACATCTCATTCCCTCCCTCCCTCCCTCCCTCCCTCCTTTCCCCCTCCAGCTCATTTCCCTTGGTTTGAAGCCGA